CCCTCTGCACGTGGCTGAGGAATACAGTCGAGCTTGATTGGAGAGGGCACGTGTGAGGGCACAAGACCCTTCCGAGGGCCAAACTGCCACAGGAATGTAGAAGGCATGGGTCGCTAAACGCAGGACACCAGGGCACCCTCGATTTGGCAGCATCGACCCACTGGTCGGACTCGACTGGAAATCTGGACGGAGACCTGGCACTCCGTGCTGACTTGCTCCGAACGGACCTGGCACCCTGTCAGGAGGGGCTGTGTCTGGACGGAGCAAGCCCAGACGGGGACCGATCCCTCCGTGCGGACCCACTCCGCTCGGAATTTGGAGCCCTCCGAAGGCCGCGGAGCTCCGCGCTGCGCGGCCCCGGCGGCCGCGGCTGCGGCGCGCCGCGCGCGCGCTCGCGCCGCGCCTCGAGCAACCGCTGCAGCGTGTGCAGGGCCCGGCCGGCGGCCGCCGCGGCGAGGGCCCCGCGCCACGGGGCGTCGGCCGGGCGGCGGCCCCAGCGGCAGCCGCGGCACAGGGCGGCCGCCTCGGGGCGCATGCGGGCGGGAGCGGCTCGGCACGGGGCGCGGGCGCCGAGCGCCGGCGCCGCGGCGGCGGCGAGCTGCATGCGCCGCGCGCGGCGTGCGGGCGCGGGCGCGGTCGGGCCCAGGCCCGCGGCCGTGGATCCCCAAGCGGTGCCTGGTGCAGAGGAGGAGAGGATGAGAGGGCGACGGCGGCAGGGACGGCCGCGACGACCACGGCGACGACGACGCGGCCTCGCGGGTGCGAGATGCCACCAGCCCACTGGGCGCAAGTGGTTCAGCAAGGCGCAGGTCTTCCGACCGCCCGTGTCCCTTCGGAGAGAGGTTCACCTCTCTCCCAGATGCCCTCTCCCTGGATCCAGAGGCCGCGTTTCGCGAGGCGTTGGAGCGTCCAAAATGGCCCAAGATTGCTCTAAAAAGACCCCATATGGCTTCAACACCGTACAATGTAGCCCAGGATGGCTCAACATACGTCCCAACATGCCTCCAAGAGGAGCCATGACCGCCCCAAGACGGCTCCACGTGGCCACGAAGCCAACCAAAGAACTCCCGGAGAGGCCCAAATGTGTTAAACACCAACGGGAACTCGCCTGTTCGCTTCCGAAGGGCTCGTGGGACCTCAAAATGGTTCCAAGGAGCCCCCCAATACGAGCTTCAGATGGCCCCAAGAGTTCACAAGAGAACGACTTGAAGGATTCCGAGGAAAGGGGCCGTAGTCGACACCGTCCACGTCGGCCCCAAGATCGCGACCAATTGGGCCACAAGAGAGCCCCGAAGGCGTGCAACATGACCCCAAGATGGCCCGAGTAAGCTGCCAAGATGCTCCCAGACCGAAAGGCCCGCGAAGACATTTGTGGTTGGCTCCTGGGCCTGCTCAGGCTGATCCCGATCTTCGGCTTTCCAGCTGCCCCTCCTCTTGATTCCAATTCGTGCCCTCAGACTTCCTGATCAATGCAACTCTCCAGAGCATCGTTGTTGGTTGGGCTGGTGGGGATGGGCGAAGCGTCAATCATGTCAATCACCTTGCGCTTCGCGACGCAACGCAACATTTACAAGAACCCCGATTACTGTCTGATATCGGAACCGTCGTTGCCAGGCTTGACCTCCTTTGGGTGCCGGGAATCGAGGTGCGTCATCGAATGGCCCTGTGCTCGCCGAAACGCTAGACGCACCGACACAACTGTAGAAGCGGCAAACGGCAAAGCGAGGCGATGACCTGGGATGACGCCACGCAGGTCGGCCACGCGGTAACCGCGAAGGGTCTTTTATGATGAGAACCCACCCCAAGCTCTCGGCGGGGAATAAACACTCGTCCCTCCTCCTCCTTCCCCGCCCTCCTCCTTCCTTTCCCTCCTCCCTCCGCATCCTCCTCCTCTTCTACCTCCTCCTCCTCCCTAGTAGTAGTAGTAGTAGTAGTAGTAGTAGTAGTAGTAGTAGTAGTAGTAGTAGTAGTCGTAGTAGTAGTAGTAGTAGTAAGGGTAGTAGTAGTCGTAGTAGTACTAGTCGTAACAATAGTAGTAGTAGTAGTAGTAGTAGTAGTAGTAGTAGTAGTAGTAGTAGTAGTAGTAGTAGTAGTAGTAGTAGTAGTAGTAATAGTTGTTGTGGAAGCAGTAGTAGTAGTAGTAGTAGTAGTAGTAGTAGTAGTAGTAGTAGTAGTAGTAGTAGTAGTAGCAGTAGTAGTAGTAGTAGTAGTAGTCGTAGTAGTAGTAGTAGTAGTAGTAGTAGTAGTAGTAGTAGTAGTAGTAGTAGTAGTAGTAGTAGTAGTAGTAGTAGTAGTAGTAGTAGTAGTAGTAGTAGTAGTAGTAGTAGTAGTAGTAGTAGTAGTAATAATAGTCGTCGTAGTCGTAGTATTCGTCGTAGAAGTAGTAGTCGTAGTACAAGTGCTACTAGTCATAAGGGTAATCGTGGTCCTGGTCGTAGTAGTAGTAGTAGTAGTTGTAGTAGTAGTAGTAGTAGTAGTAGGAATCGTAAGTCTAGTAAGA